TATTACACGTTCAGTTTAGTAACATGCTAACAACTTTTCAAAAGTGAAATCAGTAGTGTACAGAGCCCCAGCGTGACGAGCTGTATTTGTGTGGTGGGTTGAGTTGCTTTCTATGCAGAGCGTTCCAAATCAGTCACTTATGAGCTTCGTTAGATGCTGCCTTCAGGCGTAAGTATGCTTCTGCTGTTTGTTCACGGCTTCGTCTCACACATGGTATATGTGATGGTTAAATTCCTTATCAAGAGAGTTCACTCATACTATGCTTACAGCAGCCCACCACTTTTGGCCTTATGCACATTTGAATATCTGAACTTATAGTTTGCACATGTCCCTGGAATTTAGTACACTAATTGATGGGTCAATTAGTTGGCAAAGCACAGTCAGGGCTGTTTTCTTTTAAGAACTACTCCAAGAAAGAAATTAAAAATGCTAATTAATAACAACAGAAGGAATGAATATGCAAGAAGGTCAACTCAAACATGAAAGAGCAAAAGCCAACTAAAATCAGTTCACAGAGTTTTGGGCAATATATATTCCTAATATACACTCACCGGCCACTTTATTAGGTACATCTTACTGCTACCGGGTTGGACCCACTTTGCCTTCAGATCGGCCTAAATCCTTCGTAGCATAGATTCAACAAGGTACTGGAAATGTTCCTCAGACATTTTGGTCCATACTCACCCAGTGGGTATTACACCACATCCCAAAGGTGCTCTATTGGATTAAGCTCTGGTGACTGTCGAGGCCATTTGAGTACAGTGAACTCATTGTCATGTTCAAGAAACAAGTCTGAGATGATTCAGGCTTTTTGACATAGTGTGTTATCCTGCTGGAAGTAGCCATCAGAAGATGAGTAATCTGTGGGCATAAAGGGATGGACATGGTCAGCAACAGTACTCAGGTAGGCTGTGGCATTAACACAATGCTCAATTAGTACTAATGGGCCCAAAGTGTGCCAAGAAAACATCCCCCACACTATTACTCCACCACCACCAGCTTGAGCCTTTGATACAAGGCAGGGTGGACCCATGCTTTCATGTTGTTGATGCAAAATAATGACCCGGCCATCTGAATGTCGCAAAAAAAAACGAGACTCATCAGACCAGGCAACATTTTTCAATCTTTTATAGTCCAATTTTGGTGATCCTGTGTGAATTGTAGCCTCTTTTTCCTCTTCTTAGCTGACAAGAATGGCACCCGGTGTGGTCTTCTGCTGCTGTAGCCCATCTGCCTCAAGGTTGGACGTGTTGTGTGTTCAAAGATGCTCTTCTGCATACCTCAGTTGTAACGAAAGGTTATTTGAGTTACGGTTGCCTTTCTATCAGCTTGAACCAGTCTGGCCATTCTCCTCTGACCTCTGGCATCAACAAAGCATTTGCACACACATAACTGCCGCTCACTGGATATTTTCTCTTTTTCGAACCATTCTCTGTAAACCCTAGAGATGGTTGTGCATGAAAATTGCAGTAGATCAGCAGTTTCTAAAATACTCAGACCAACCTGTCTCGCATCAACAACCATGCCACATTCAAAGTCAATTAAATCATTTTTCTTTCCCATTCCAGTGCTCGGTTTCAAATGCAGCAGATTGTCTTGACCATGTCTATATGCCTAAATGAATTAAGTTGCTGTCATGTGATTGGCTGATTAGAAATTTGCGTTACCAAGCAGTTTGACAGGTGTACCTAATAAAGTGGCCGATTAGTGCATATGTGTTTTTATATGTGTAGAAAGCTAAATAAATGCAAGTTTCTATTTTAATGTTTTAGAAAAACATTTGTAAACATAAGTGTAAAAAAATCTCATTGCCATTCAGATTAAAAAATGAATAATATAATTATTCTGTCTTGTACTTATTAAAACATATACTGTAAAAGAATAAACTATTATTATTAGAATTATTAGCCCCCCTCTGTATATTTTTCCATGATTTCTGTTTAACAGAAATACGATTTTTTCAACACATTTCTAACCATAATAGTTCATTCATTTTCTTGTCAGCTTAGTCCCTTTATTAATCAGGGGTCGGCACAGCGGAATGAACTGCCAACTTATCCAGCATATGTTTTACGCAACACTGGGAAACACACTCTCTTAACATAATAGTTGCAATTGCTCGTAAGATTTTTTCAAGGTTCTAGTATTCAGCTTACAGGGCAATTTTAAGGCTTAATTAGGGTAATTAGGCAAATCATTTTATAAGGATGGTTTGTTCTGCAGACTATCGAAAAAAAAAATTGCGTACGGAGGGTAATAATATTGACCCTAAAATGTTAAAAAAACAAAAAAAAATTTTTTTTTTCTAGCCGAAATAAATCAAAAAGACTTTCTTTAGAAGAAAAAATAGAAAAGAAAAAAAAATCAAAGGAGGGCTAAAAATTCTGACTTCAACTGTAGGCTTTAATATATTTTAGTTACTTAAATATTTTATTGGATAAAACCTCAGACGAAACAGGACACATTCTAAAGTAATGATTAAAATTGTACTGTTTTGATACTTGAAAGTCCTTTTTTGTCTTTGACCCACAACGATTTCCTCATCTTAGGCCTCTGTTTCCAGCCTGCGGGTTTGAGAGCAGCCACTTTTCTCATGCAACTTTCAATGTTTTGACCTGTCATTTCCCTCCTTCCATTCAATCTTTATCAGATGATAAACACTGAAGGCAGAAAGGAAACCCAACCGATGACAGGAGGCTGAAATGCTTGCCATGCTGTGGAAATGGAACAATCCTTACACATACATCACAGGTTTCACCCTATCTAGGAGCTGTCTCAATAGGGATCCTCCTGAGCATTGCGGCGGGGATTCAAAGTAGGTCGCCCTGAACTTGCACACCCTGATTTATGTTATGTGGACGCTGGCCAAGTCAATTCTATGAAAACGGCAGTGGAATTTTGGACAGGCATGGATAATTCATATAATTTTAAAAATGGAACAAAAAATATATAAAAAAGACATTGGAGGAGACAAGATAAGAGTATTAATAAAAATACAGACCAAAAACACATAAGAAATCTGTGATTTGTAATCCTACTTAGTAAAAAAAAGAGTGTGTGGGATAGAAAATAATAAAATAATAATGAAACAATAAAAATGTTTTCATGTCTTAGATAAATTTAGACCTGTCCTGTATAATTATTACACTGTATAAATGACGCATCACAGCAGAGTATTCTAGCCCTTGTACAACAAACATGACAATGTGCAATACTCTATTTTTGTAATACGCAAGCTGTGCAACAAATGCTGGCACACAGTACACACACACCACTTCTGCACTGATAATTTGACACCTTGCTTGGCCAAAATCAAACCATTATATTATGGTATAAACCTTACTTGACAATACCTTAATGTTTAGCTCCACAAAGTGAAATAGACACACCTAAAGCAGGAATTTTGAAGCTGTGGTGTGTATTTTATAAAAATGTAAGTTTCTTGTGTGTAATCAGATAAGATTATTTGGTGTGTGAGTCTGCGCTGAAGAGAAAAATTATCTAACTCTGAGATTTGGTTACCAGAAATCTTATTTCTTTCCTAGGAAAAGCTTGTTGAAGATGAATATTTTTATCCATTTATCAGTGAATATGGGTAATATATTTTAGTGCATTTTAACAAAACAGATTTATTAAACTGACATATATTTACTAAAACAATATTTTAGTATAAGACCAAACGTCTTTATAAATAGAAAGGTAATACATTTAAATTCATGCAAAACATTGCAATAAAATATAAAAATTACAAACTACAAAATTAAAAAAAAAATGTTTTTTTAATATTTTTGGTTTCTCTTAATTTTTGTTCTTTAAAAAAAATAATATGAATAATTTTACATTATACCCCTAAATATTTGGGCCGTTATTGCAAGTTATTTTGTTAGATTAGCTCCAGATTTGGCTTCAGTACTGACTCTGAGTAATCTAATGTGTAGTAACATGAAATTTTGATGTAAAATATGCACTGAAATAAAAAATATTAGTCATAACAGTTTAAAAAATAAAGATATATATTCCATTATTATAGTTTCCACGTTACACAAATTTAAATTCATGATGCCAGGGTTTTTATAATTATTATAAACAAGTTATAGTGCTGCCAAGGATATATTTTTTTTATTTTCCTTTATGCTCTAAAATAAATCTATATGCTGCATGGTGGCACAGTGGGTAGCATGTTTGCCTCACAGCAGGGTCACTGGTTCGAGCCTCAGCTGGGTCAGTTGGCATTTCTGTGTGGAGTTTGCATGTTCTTCCTGTGTTCGCGTGGGTTTTCTCAGAGTGCTCCAGTTTCCCCCACAGTCCAAAGACCTACAGGTGAATTGGGCAGGCTAAATTGTCCGTAGTGCATGTGTGTGAATGAGTGTGTATGGATGTTTCCCAGTGATAGGTTGCAGCTGGAAGGGTATCTGCTGTGTAAAACATATCCTGGATTAGTTGTCGGTTGAATCAGCTGTGGAAAAATTAATAAAGGGACTAAGCTGGAAAGAAAATGAATGAATGAAACTAATATACTAACTGCTTACAGCTCAAGTGCTGTTTAAAGAAAACTAAGGTTATTTAATTCAAGTGTTATATTATAATAAATGTGCATATTGTAAGTTTAATTATTTATGCATTTTTCACAAATAATATATATCTAGAATAACAGATAGATATTTATTATGGCTTATTTATAGTAGGCCTCAGGAAAGGCTGCTCCTCATTATCATGACATGTTCATATCTTCCATTTAAAACAGTCAGATATCTAATAACCTACTACAGCAGACAACAGCAGCTCTCTTTATGGCTGATAAAATGGGTCAATGGTTGCTTAACTGCACACCACATGAGCAGTTAATTTTTAACAAGTTCAAAAAAACAAATACAAACAACCCTGGAGGGTTTCATGAAGAAAAAAAGAAACCGTTTGCCAGTAGTGGGTTGGCCTCTCAAACAGGAATTGAGAGCAGGTAACCAGAAACCTCCCTTAACTCCCTCAAAGTGCCTTCTTCATTCGGCGTGCATGAAACACATCAAGCGCGTCGAGCTGGGACGAGCGCAAAGTTTTCACTGGATGATTTCGACCCTCATTACTTGTACTGTATGTCAAAACGACGCTTTTTTTATTTCGCTCGGGAGCAGTTGCGAACTAACCGGTTTGAAGCGTTGAACTGAAGTCATAAAAATAGCGCCTTTGCTGTCGGCGAAGCTCCTCAGGTGGTTTTCTCCTCCAGCGGGACAAGAAGACGCAGCCAAAGTTGCTGATTTCGTCAATTCGGCGCAGGTCTGCAAACAAATGTACATTTGAGCCATATTAGTTCCGCTTTCCGTGTGGTTTGTGTATTTTAAAACACTTCATTACCAATTCTCAAAAAGGACAACCGGGCCAACTCAACAGGTAAGAATGTTTTTGAGTTATTGAGTGCTGTTGTTGGTCACTTGTATCAGCAGGTTGTCTATATTATTGGACTAATGATGTTTCTTCTAGCACGTTCTGTAGCATACACTGTTGGTAAACAATTACAAACACATCCGTTTTAAGCGCTTGTTTATAAGAATGGGGTACTAAAAACTTTCAATTGAGTGTAAAGCACATTTGTCAAGGTTTTAGAAATTCAATGTGCGTTAATGTTGCTTTATGTGTTTTTGTAAACTTATGTTCACACTTATTTTACAATTATTGCTATTAACAGTATATTACCTAAGACTTCTGACAAAAAAAACAAAAAAAAAACAAAACAAAAACAAATTAGCTGTTATTAATAGGCTAGTTAAGGTAGTTGGGTTTATGTATTGGTTAGAATTAGGGATGTAAAATAAACAGCTAATATCTTATTTATAGGAAGTTAAAAAGTCAGTAGGCTTGGGTAAAGTGTTATTATACCAATATTATTTATACCATAAGACTCTAAACATGTTAAGAAAAGTATAAATATCGGTATCACTTTATTTTGATGGTTCATTTAACACATTTTGTTGAAATTAAATAACATTGCATCTGCTTGCCAACTAATTCTCAATAGATTATAAGTATACTGTTAGGTTGGGGTTAGGGTTAGTGTAATTAAAATTTACTTGCAAATTTCTTGAAGTTATTTAAATGTTGAAAGAGGAGAATCAGCAGATATTAAGCAGACAGGCTACTAATGCTCAAATGAGAATTAACTGGCATATAGTTGCAATGCAACTTCTATTCAACAAAGTGTGCAATAGAGACCATCAAAATAAAGTGTTACAGAAATATTAACTAAGCTGTTTTTTATATTCTTTCATACTCATGAGATTTGATTACCATATATATTTTTATTACTCAGTATAGAATATAAATAAATGCAGAATAGGCCAAGTGCATATGTTAGAATTAAAGGGAAAACAAGATGTACAATTATAACTAGGGCTGCATGATATTGGAAAAATATGACATTGCGATATTTTATTATGCTGCGATTTATATTGCAATATGTTTCCCAGTGTTGGCTTGCAGCTGAAATGGCATCCGCTGCGTAAAACATATGCTGAATAAGTTGGCGGTTCATTCTGCTGTGGCGACTCATGATTAATAAAAGGACTAAGCCAAAAAGAAAATGATATTGTGATATTTATAACCGAAGACGGAAAAGTGCATCAAAAAGTTATAAGTTGTATTTCTTTTAATAACAGCACGTATATTTCTTTGAATTGCAACATTGATATATGTTCGATCCGCCATTACGTTAAGCATATTGCTGTTTTGTCTTGCCCCATATTGAATGATTAAATATAATGTAAAATGTAAACACTGCACATTCTTCATTGCTGATCAACAATAATAATCCCATCTCCACATAGCAGATGCTGCGATGTGACTGTTACGAATGCACACGTTAAGATATTGATGCTAAAACGATATATCACGATATTTTGCCCCCAAAAATGATAGATCAGGATTATCAATGTTATACTATAAAAATTATGATATTTGTAAATGAAGAGGGGAAAAGTGCATCAAAAATTTATAAGATGTATTTTTTTTTATTAACAGCACATATATTTCTTAGAATTGCAACATTGATATATGTTCGATCGGCCATTACGTGTAGTGCCACCTCATGTATATCGCTGTTTGTCCTTCCCCTATTGAATGATTAATTGTAATGTAAAATGTAAACACTGCACATTCTTAATTGCTGATCGACAATATTAATTCCATCTCCACATTGCAGATGCTGCGATGTGACAATGGCAAATGCACACGTTGTGATATCAATGCTTAAACGATATATCGTGCAGCCCTAATTATAACTGTCAAATGATTTAATGTTTGTTTTGATGTCACGTGACAACATAATGGCTATTTGTATGTGGGTTATACTGCACTGACTTGGATGTGGCAGTCAAACCTTTTGAAATATTAACAATATTGCTTGCTTCAAACTTATTTTTTTATAAATATGTATACTTTTAAACATACTTCCTTTTCCTTGCTGAATGGTTACACTGTAAAACCCAACAGCTAACTTTTCTTTAAATGACATGAGTGTAGTTAACTCAAAATTTACTGAAAGTTAAGTTTTACAGTACTCGGTTTAATTTCTCTTCATTTCTCGGATTTTACTGTTCTCAATTTGCTTCATTTACTCAAATGGAATAAGTTCACAGTACTCATTAGGATTAGTTTTTGAACTTAAATGGTTTGTTGCATTTGGTTTTCTCAAATGGTTTGAGTTACCTTAACTTTTTTGTGTTTTACAGTGTACAACACCTCTGAGTGTAAAGAGCACAAAAATAGAAACTGTGTTAATTTAGCTGAGAATTTATGGTGTTTCTTAACAGACTCAAACAGAAGCGTGATCTTTAAATATTAAAGGGTAAAAAACACTTAGATAAAGGTTGCAATTTCATATTGTGCACAATACAAAAATAGCCTACAGCTCAACAAACATGAAACATGGCTTGAAAGTGTAAAGTAACAAAAAAATCCCCTTCGTGGTAAACACAGTTTGGCCACAATGCCATTTTCGCTACTCTTACTATCAGCAAAGGCATCTGTTTTGATCATTTAAAAGGTCTTTTTCACAAATATTGTACTTTGTTTTGAGCTAATCTCGCATAGCTTGACATAACTTGATGTGCCAAGCAGGTGTCTCCATGTTTAAAGTGGGAGTTTGCAAGTCACTGTTCTGATAATCCCATCAGCCGACATGGTAGAAGAACTAAATACATCAGTTTCATTTTCACAGTCTATCAGTTGTCATTTGATGCAAGGATCAGTACATAAATATTAGGTGCTGGTTCATGTAATCCATGGCAGAACAGAGGTATTATAATCTCTAAATAAGTAGCAAGTTTACATATTCCCCATTTACGCTTAGAATATGTGTGCAGATACTCTTCAGGATTTGCTGCCAACACAATTTCATGCTGCAGTCATTTTTTAAAAGCATGCGCACACCGAATTTGGACATTATAAGTATACGAGTGTCAGAACATGAAGGGCAAAATGGAGCATTTAAAATTCACTGAACTGAATGATTGGAGAGAAAGGGTGAATCCACTCCTGCCTGTCTGTGCAAGAACTGCTTACCATTTCTTTTAGTTTTTTTTTTTTTCTGGAACTGACAAATAAATACTGCAGGCATGAAACCACTGGTAGCAGAGCTGTGAAGCCTCCTTGTCATTGCAGTTGCAACCTGTTCAAGTAATTTAAACAAATTCCATCTGGTGCCTTTCTACCCATGACGAGAAGAACTTTAAAGCGCTGCTCAGGTTCACCAGAGTGAAAAGCAGATACAGAAAAATGAGAATAAAAGTGCAGACTGTCAGCAAAAGGAAATTGAGTAGTGTAGTGAAGGTCTCAGTTGGTCATCGTGTTGTAGCGAAGATGCTCCCAGACCTGTAGATGATGGATGTTCAGATTGCTGAAGGGAAATTCCTCACTGCCATGGAGTCACCATGCCATCAAACACTCAATTACACAGAGATAGATGACCAGCGCTGAAGCATTGCTTTGTCTATGTATTTAAAAACAGGACACACACTTTGACAGATTAACTGCTTCTGTCTTTTGACGAATACATTTACAACTGAAGTGTGTAATTGTTCTTGACATTAAAAGACGTGGATCGCCCTAAAAAGCAAACAGCTACATTTCACTATGTATACACTTTAAATTTGTATTTAAAAATGTATAATATGGTCAAACCCAATCATTGTGTTAAAAAGTATAATTTAAGGTCCGCGAGTACTAGACGTTGCTAAGACTTTTATTTCATTATGCTGATGCACTTCCAACTGAAGCATAATATTGAGTAGGGGGCAGGGTAGAAAATTAAGAGTAGGGTTTGTCTGCGGACTGCAAGACAGGGGCATAACCTGAATGGGCGTAACTTGCAGTAGAGGCGTAACTTGAAGTTATGGAGATCCACATGTCCAAACTATGTTGTCGACAAGATGGTGCTGTACATCAGTTATTAACGTCTACACCTACTTCACACCCTAAACCCAACCATCATAATTATTGACATCTACACCTTCCAAATCAAATCACTTGTTTTGTCACATCATCAGCAGTACGTTTGCTACGATGAGTGAAAAGCTTAGTGGAAAACCTTACTCAACCCTAAACCCACCCATCATTATTGTTAACGTCTACGGCTACCCCAACCTTCACAGTTATTAACGTCTACACCTCCCCAACCCTAAACGCAACCATCATCAATATTAACGTCTACACCTTCCCCAAGCCTAAACCCAACCATCATCAATATTAACGTCTACACCTTCCCCAAGCCTAAACCCAACCATCATCATTATAACCGTCTACACCTTCCCCAAGCCTAAACCCAACCATCATCAATATTAACGTCTACACCTTCCCCAAGCCTAAACCCAACCATCATCAATATTAACATCTACACCTTCCCCAAGCCTAAACCCAACCATCATCAATATTAACGTCTACACCTTCCCCAAGCCTAAACCCAACCATCATCAATATTAACATCTACACCTTCCCCAAGCCTAAACCCAACCATCATCAATATTAACGTCTACACCTTCCCCAAGCCTAAACCCAACCATCATCAATATTAACATCTACACCTTCCCCAAGCCTAAACCCAACCATCATCAATATTAACGTCTACACCTTCCCCAAGCCTAAACCCAACCATCATCGTTATTAACATCTACCCCTTCCCCAACCCTAAATCCAACCATCATCAATATTAACGTCTACACCTTCCCCAAGCCTAAACCCAACCATCATCAATATTAACATCTACACCTTCCCCAAGCCTAAACCCAACCATCATCAATATTGACGTCTACACCTTCCCCAAGCCTAAACCCAACCATCATCAATATTAACATCTACACCTTCCCCAAGCCTAAACCCAACCATCATCAATATTAACGTCT